TGTGTGTGTGTGTGTGTGTGTGTGTGTGTGTGTCGCAATTTGATGACGAGCTAAGAGGACGCAAGAGCTCCTAGAGGGCCTGGATAATGACGTACGTGTGTGTCTCCTCGCAATTTGATGACGAGCTGAGAGGACGCAAGATGACATGTGTGTGTGTGTGTGTGTGTGTGTGTGTGTGTGTCTCCTCACAATTTGATGATGAGCTGAGAGGACGCAAGAGCTCCTAGAGGGCCTGGATCTGTGCAGCATCGCATCTGTGTCCCCAAAGTCAGCAGTTCCCGCCGACAAGGAGGAGACTGAGGAGGCTGGCATTCTGCCTGGAGGACTGCTGGTCTGAGAAGGCACCCTCATCAGCTGGACTTTGAGGCTCCCACCGCCCCTTTCCTCTTAGTAGACTCAAGCTTTCCCGCCTCATCACCCTAGGATTTCGGGGACTACCAAGATGGCTACTACTCGGTGCAGACAACAGAGGGGGAGCAGATCGCACAGCTCATTGCCGGCTACATCGACATCATCCTGAAGAAGGTGGGGGCGGCCTCCCCGGCCTCGTCCTACTCTCCCCTGACCCTTCCCAAGTGCGTCCTTTGGAAAGGGCAGCCCAGGTTCTGGGAAATGGCTGACTGGAGGAAGAAGAGGCTGCCTTCCCCCACTTCCCTCTTCATTGCCCCGACTGACTCACATTTCTGATCTCTTCATACAGAAAAAAAGCAAGGACCACTTCGGGCTGGAGGGAGACGAGGAGTCTACCATGCTGGAGGACTCGGTGTCCCCCAAAAAGTACGAAGAGAGTCAGGGTGATGATCCCTCTATTGGGGCTGTTGGGGGACAGGGAGGCCTAGGGAGTAACAGGCTGGAGTGGCCTCATGCACCCCAGAGCACAGGGCCTGCAGAGGTGACCCAGCAGGGTGGAAGGGCAGAGGGGAGGAGGGCACTCTGAGCACTCCTTGAATGCCCCTCTAGGTCGACAGTCCTGCAGCAGCAGTATAACCGCGTGGGGAAGGTGGAGCACGGCTCCGTGGCCCTGCCTGCCATCATGCGCTCCGGAGCCTCGGGCCCTGAGAATTTCCAGGTGGGAAGCATGCCCCCTGCCCAGCAGCAGATCACCAGTGGCCAGATGCACCGGGGACACATGCCTCCTCTGGTGAGAACATCCCCCACTCCTCCCTCAGCCAAGCCCAGCAGCCAGGAGTGCGGCCTCTGCCGGAGTCCCTGTGCACATGCGTCTCCCTGGTCTGATTCTCCCTCGCATTCGCATTCCTCTCAGTGCTCCACTCCCGCCCCGTTACTCCTCCCCATGTCTTTCAGACGTCAGCCCAGCAAGCGCTCACTGGGACCATCAACTCCAGCATGCAGGCTGTGCAGGCTGCCCAGGCCACCCTGGACGACTTTGACACCCTGCCCCCGCTTGGCCAGGATGCTGTGAGTGCGGGGCAGAGGGCAGCCAAGAGGCGGGAAAGCTGGGGCTTCTAGCAGTAGGGTTGGGGCAAAGCACACCTGAGCAGCTCCTGAGATCTTCCCTCTCTCAGGCCTCGAAGGCCTGGCGGAAGAACAAGATGGACGAGTCAAAGCACGAGATCCACTCCCAGGTAGATGCCATCACAGCCGGCACTGCCTCCGTGGTGAACCTGACAGCAGGTAGGTCGGGTGCCCAACCTGGGGGAGGGGGGGGAGGGGGGGGCACGGCAGAGCAGACAAGCGCAAGCCAGAGTTCCTGTGACTGTGCCCTGACTCAATCTGGAAGGCCCGGTGTATGTGACTAACTGGCTGTGACTGGGCTCCGCCGCTCACACAACTCTCTCCCTCCTCCCTCTCCCCTCAGGAGACCCTGCAGAGACAGACTACACCGCTGTGGGCTGTGCCGTGACCACCATCTCCTCCAACCTGACGGAGATGTCTCGCGGGGTGAAGCTGCTGGCTGCCCTGCTGGAGGATGAGGGTGGCAGTGGCCGTCCCCTGCTGCAGGCAGCCAAGGGCCTTGCAGGGGCCGTGTCGGAGCTGCTGCGCAGTGCCCAGCCAGCCAGCGCCGAGGTCAGGGACCGTAGAGTGAGGCTGGGGTGCAGAGAGGGTGGGAGCCCAAGGAGAAGAGGGCCCACCTGCAGGGGGTGGGGAGGCCCTGGGAGGGGGGCCCCACAGGCACGTGAGCAGGGATGGGGCAGCTTCTGACCGGTGTTCACTCTCTACAGCCCCGTCAGAACCTGCTGCAAGCAGCTGGGAACGTGGGCCAGGCCAGTGGGGAGCTGTTGCAGCAAATTGGGGAAAGCGATACTGACCCCCACTTCCAGGTTGGTGAGCAAGCCCCGATTTCTGGGGCAATATCTGATCCTGAATCCAACTCCTGGCCCCTGACCCTTCACAACCAACCCGTACCCCTTTCCCCCAGGGGTAACACTAGGAAGCTGCAATCCCATCTGGGGGTTGAGAAGTCGGAACCCCTGGATCTAAACTTGACCTTGCTAGCTGACTTTGGCCTTATTGACGATGTTTTTGTAGTCCCTGGTCATCTTACCCGGAGCCCCGGTGGCATAGTGGTTACAATGGGACTGCAATCCACAAAGCCAGCAGTTGAAAACCACCAGCCCTCTGAGGGAGAAAGACAGGCTTTCCTCCTCCTGTGAACAGTTACAGTCTGTTTACAGCCCCACAGGGGCAGCTCTACCCTGTCCTGTAGGGTCGCGCTGGGTAGGAATCGACTCGAGTTTGGTTTTTCCGTTCGATCATCCGGCCTGTCTTCCCCTCCATGCCCCTTACCCCAACTGGAGGAGCTACTCCTGAACCCCTCGAATCTTTAGACCACGTCCCTCTAGCTCTCTGCCCACCCCACGTCAATTTCCTCAGCTGATTTTTTTTTTCATCCTGGATTTCCTACACAGATACATGCACCCAGAGGGGCTGGGGTTCGATCTCCCCCCGACCCCCCCACGGTAACGGCCTCTGGCCTGGGCCTACCCAGCTCTGTCCTCTCTTGAGCCGAATACACTCGTTTCTGCCAGCCTCCTGGGGGAGTACAGCATGATGGGAGATGGGGAGGCCTTGCCCAGCAGGACTTGGGGACATGGGATCCTGGTGTGTAGTACGTCAGGATGACGACCTCCATACCAAGATGGAGACGATGTGGAGAAACGAAGCTGGGGGTGGGAGGGACCCCGAGAGGCACCATGCTCCGTTCTCTGGTGAAAGCACTGCCCCTCCCCCCAGCACAGCCGAGTGTATCCGCCTCCCGCATTGCCCCTTGGTGTGGGCTCTGCTGCTCTTGGTGTGGGTCTCTTCCATGGTGGAGGTTCTGTCCTGCTGGGGCCGAGAGGCAGGGGCTGGGGGGTAGATTCTGGTTGCTCCTGCTTACACTGTCCTGTGATTGGAGTCAACGGGAGTAATGAAACAGCTTATGCCTCTTGAGAAGGGTCCATGGATCCCGAGCTACTATGTCAGGCCCGGCTAACTAGCTGCCTCCTCACAGGACATGCTCATGCAACTAGCCAAGGCAGTAGCCAGCGCAGCAGCGGCCCTGGTCCTCAAAGCCAAGAGCGTGGCCCAACGGACAGAGGACTCAGGGCTTCAGACCCAGGTCATTGCTGCCGCCACACAGTGTGCCCTGTCCACCTCCCAGCTGGTGGCCTGTACCAAGGTGAGCCACCAAGGCCACTCGAACCAGTGCCGTGCGGGGTACTGGTCCCTTAGGGGCCTTTAGTTCTCAATGCTGCATGCTCCCTCCCAGTGACTGGCTTACCCCCAGACACTTTCCCCTTGCCTATCCTTCTGACACGCAGTTTGTACCCAGGTGGTGGCACCTACAATCAGTTCCCCCGTTTGCCAAGAGCAGCTGGTCGAGGCTGGACGCCTGGTAGCCAAAGCCGTGGAGGGCTGCGTGTCTGCCTCCCATGCAGCCACAGAGGATGGACAGCTCTTGCGAGGGGTGGGAGCAGCAGCTACAGCTGTCACCCAGGCCCTGAATGAGTTGCTGCAGCACGTGAGGGCGCACGCCACAGGGGCTGGGCCTGCTGGCCGCTATGACCAGGCCACTGACACCATCCTCACTGTCACTGAGAACATCTTCAGTTCCATGGGTGATGCTGGTAAGAAACACTTCCTCCAACTGCCTGACCTTCAGGGCCCAGCACAGTGTGGCCTGGCCAGCACTGTAAGGGTGGCCCAGGTGCTCGATCTCTCTGAAGTTTCCATCCTCTATCTGTAAAACAGAAACATGATCCCTGCTCTGCTTTCCTTAGGGAATGTGAAGGATATACCGAAACACACATTTAAAATCTTATGGAAAGTGGCATTGAAAGAAAGCTTTTCCCATCCCACCTAACCCCCAAAAACCTTCACCAAAAGACTGTCTGATGGGCATGCCCAGTGGAGACTGCCCTTCTCTTTGGTCATAAAAGCCTCCTGGGAAATTTGTCCCTTTTCCAAAGCCTAAACCCAGTTTTGTTTTGTTTTGTTTTATAAACTCCAAAATTAACGTGCCAGTTTTTTGGTGGTCATGGAAGGTCCCATCTACCTCGCTACATCACTTCCCCCATCCTTGACCCCACCCCTGAAGCCCCCCTGGTGTCTCTGGCTTCCTCACGCGCTGTGTCCTTTCCTTTCAGGTGAGATGGTACGACAGGCACGCATCCTAGCCCAAGCCACCTCAGACCTGGTCAATGCCATCAAGGCTGACGCCGAGGGGGAGAGTGACCTGGAGAACTCACGCAAGCTATTAAGCGCTGCCAAGATCCTTGCTGATGCCACAGCCAAGATGGTGGAAGCTGCCAAGGTACAGAGCTCTGTGTGCAGGGTCCTGGACGGGAAGTAGATGCGAAGGTGGCCACCCTCATTTGATGGGGGAGGCCCAGGAATAGCAGCAAATACAGAAACATTCAGGCAGGAAATGAGCCCCAAGGCCTCAGGTGGCTGCTGTAGCCCAGGCTTCCCAGGCCAGCCGACCACAACCCCATTTCTTGCTCTAAGTCCTAGGTCTGCTGTGCTGCTACCACCTGCCTTGGCTTACTCTCTGCCCTGGGCCCTGTGTGTTTTGCACATAAGCCTGTAGGCCCCGGGTCTCCACTGCTAGTAGTAAAGAGTAAGATGAGGCAGCGTGGTACTGAGACTCCAGGATGGGAGGATCATTGGCAGGAAGCCCAAACAATTCTAAGGGTCCCGGAGCTCGAGCTCATCATCTGCACCTGTAGCCAAGTCCCCGCTCCAGTGCTCCTGAGATCCCTGCGTGCAACCCAGTCTTCCAGTTCACAGGAAGCCTTCTCAAGAAACTCACTGCCATCCAGTCAATTCCAACTCAGAGCGAACCTGTAGGGCAGGATAGAACTGCCCCTGTAGGTGTCTGAGACTGACTCTATGGGAATAGAAAGCCTCATCTTTCTCCCTGGGAGCATCTGGTGGTTTCGAACTGCTGACCTAAAGGTTAGCATCCCAACACATAATCACTATGCCACCAGGCCTCCTTGTCTCTATTTACTTGTGGTGTTCTGGGTGACAAAAAACATGACCCCCTTCCCTAAGCAGGAAAAGAAACAGCTCCACCTAAAGAAGCAATCTCTGCGTCACAAAGAGAATGCTTTCATTGAAGACACTTAGATTTCAGAAACAAAGGAATTCTAAGCAGATTTCCTAGGAACTAGAGAGATGAAATGGACTGACATTGTCTATTTTGAATCCACACAATCCTGGGTACTCTGCTGGAAATGACAAATTACAAGGGAATTGTGGCTTCTTTGCCATCCAAAGCAACATTTCAAGATCTGTCCAGAAATACACCACTGTCAGTGACAAGATGACAGCCATATACTGACCAGGAGCTTATGCAAACGTACGCCCCTAACACTGTTGTCAAAAATAAAGAAACTGAAGATTTTCACCGACTTGAAGATTTTCAAGCAGGGTCACATGGGAGATCACATAGAACTTCACAAGACCAACTCTGTGACTTGCAAACACCCTTTGACAACAGCATACGCGGACCTGTACATGCACATCCGCCTCACTGAGTGGAATACACAAGCATCAGATCAATTGCCTCTGTGGAAAGAGACACTGGAGAAGCTCAATATCATCAGTCAGAACCAGGTTGACCATGAACTACTCACACATGAATTCAAGTTGAAGCTGCAGAAAGTGAAAACAAGCCCCAGGGAGTCAAAATATGACCCTGAGTATACTCCACCTGATTACACCTCAAAGACAAAACTCCTCGCAACGAGAGTAGTAAGTCCCATGATGTACAATGGAGAAAAGATGGAAGTGGCCAAGGACTCCCTTCTACATAGATGCGTGGTCAGCGTCCGTGGACGCAGCGGTCAGACGTGGAAATGGAAACAGTGTTTTGCATTAGACAGACATGCTGAATTCCTTTACAGTGTTAAAAAGCCAAAATGGCACCTGGAGGTCTCAGGTGCACCTGACCCCCCACCACGGTAGGTATTTTGAGTCACCGCGTGGACATGTTAAAGCTGCACACGAATAAGGAGGACCCAACAAGAACAGAGGCCTTTGAATACGTACTGTTTGCAAAGAATGTTGATTATACCGTGGGCCACAGATATCAAACCCGTCTGTCAGAAGAAGGACAGACAATATGGCCAAACATCCTCTCACGTACTTTGGACAAGTCAACTGGAGAAGGACATCGTGCTTGGTCAAGAGGAGGCTCGGCAGAAGAGGAAGCACCACCGCGAGATGGATGGACGTCTAAGGCTGGGCTCAAACACCACAGTCCTCGTGAGGACAGGACGAGGCAGGGTTTCCTCTGGCATGTCAGCTCTCCCTCAATGACACCTCACAACGGCACATTGCGTTTAGGGATCAAAGAGGGCTGCGGGCAGTGACTGTCTGTCTACCTCTCTCAGGGGGCAGCCGCCCACCCCGACAGTGAGGAGCAGCAGCAGCGGCTGCGCGAGGCAGCTGAGGGTCTGCGCATGGCGACCAACGCAGCTGCACAGAATGCCATCAAGAAGAAGCTGGTGCAGCGGCTGGAGGTGAGGATGGGAGAGAGGGGTGTTGAGGTGAGATGAAGCTGGTGGGCTTGTTGGGGGAGACAGTCACTATTTCCTAGGGGGCAGGTGGCATGAGCCGGGAAGTCCCAGGACTACAGCTGGGTGCCCTGGGCCGGTTCTGACTGTTGTGTCCTCAGCACGCAGCCAAGCAGGCCGCAGCCTCAGCCACACAGACCATCGCTGCCGCCCAGCACGCGGCTTCCACCCCCAAGGTCTCTGCGGGCCCCCAGCCGCAGCTGGTGCAGAGCTGTAAGGTGAGGTGTCAGGGAGTGGGGGGGAGCATGGGAGCATAGCACGGGGGAGGCTTGGTATGAGGGAGGCTATCACCCAGTCCGCGGGAGATGGCACTGAGGACGTTTGCACCCACAGGCGGTAGCAGAGCAGATCCCACTGCTGGTGCAGGGCGTCCGAGGGAGCCAAGCTCAGCCCGACAGTCCCAGCGCTCAGCTGGCCCTCATTGCTGCCAGCCAGAGCTTCCTGCAGGCAAGGATCCTCTGCCCAGACCTCTCCCGCCCTCCCAAGACCCTGCGTTGCCCACAGTTTAAATCCACCAACAGCCTCTTTCCCAGTTCCTACAAAGGGTCCCCAGTGCTCACCATGGCCTGGCCATCGTTGGCCATTGTCCCCAAGCCCAGAAAGAAAATAGGACACTTAATCTGCCTGTCTGTCCGCCAACAGCCAGGTGGGAAGATGGTGGCAGCTGCAAAGGCCTCAGTGCCAACCATTCAGGACCAGGCTTCCGCCATGCAGCTGAGTCAGTGTGCTAAGAACCTTGGTACCGCCTTGGCGGAACTCCGGACCGCTGCCCAGAAGGTATGTGAGCCAGCTCTGGCTGTGGGTCGCTGAGGGTAGAAGTCCTGGATGGTGAGGAATCATGCAGGATAGTCCCCGGGGACCCTGGCTTCCCCAAACCCACCTTCCCCACCCTGCTCATAGGCTCAGGAAGCGTGCGGACCCTTGGAGATGGATTCTGCGCTGAGTGTGGTCCAGAATCTAGAGCGAGACCTGCAGGAAGTGAAGGCCGCGGCTCGAGATGGCAAACTGAAGCCCCTCCCTGGGGAGACAGTAAGGATGCTTCTGGTGCCCTTCTCACCCAAACCCGGGAGTCTTCCCAGAGCCCCCGAACTTGTCATTTCAACCCTGGAGTCCCCTCTCCCAGCTCTCCCTGCGCCCGAGCCCTGAGCCTCCGTCTTCGTCCCCAGATGGAGAAGTGCGCCCAGGACCTAAGCAACAGCACCAAAGCTGTGAGCTCCGCCATCGCCCAGCTCCTCGGGGAGGTGGCCCAGGGCAATGAGAACTATGCAGGTCTGTGCACCAAGCGCCAGGAACGGAGCCTGTAGCAGGGAGAGAGCCGGAGTGGTTGAGGCTGGTGGGTCCGATGGGGTCAGACCCTGGCACCCTTGACCCCTGTCCCTCCCTCCCCAGGCATTGCAGCACGGGACGTTGCAGGTGGTCTGCGGGCACTGGCCCAGGCTGCAAGGGGTGTAGCTGCTCTGACGTCAGATCCTGCAGTGCAGGCCGTCGTGCTTGACACGGCCAGTGATGTACTGGACAAGGCCAGCAGCCTCCTCGAGGAGGCTAAAAAGGCAGCTGGACATCCAGGAGATCCTGAGAGCCAGCAGCGGCTTGCCCAGGTCAGGTATTGGGAAGGGGTCAGCTCCCTCCCTCTCCGCCAGGTCCCTGATGGGGGCAAACTGTCCCTTCACCGCGAGTCCCACCCTGACTGGCAGAGGAGCACCTTCTCGGGTCTGCCTTAGAAAGTTCCTCTCTGTGTTTCACCTTTCGTCTCCTAGTTTAAGGAGCTCTGGTGGGCTGCTAACCACAAGGTCTGCAGTTTGAAACCATCAGCTTCTCCACAGGGGAAACATGAAGCTTTCTACTCCTATGAAGACTTAATCTCAGGAACCCACAGGGGCAATTCTACTCTGTCCTACGGGGTCTCTGTGACTCAGAATTGAATCAATGCAGTGGCAGTGAGTGAGCCTCCCAGTCTCAGCAGAGGTGTCTAGACAACAGCGTGGGTCTACACCCCACCTCTGGAGGAGTCTGATGAACGTTCCTTGTTCCCCCTCCCATTTTGGCAACCCTCTCTCCCTGCCCACCTCAGGTGGCTAAAGCCGTGACCCAGGCACTGAACCGCTGCGTCAGCTGTCTGCCTGGCCAGCGAGATGTGGACAACGCCCTGAGAGCAGTGGGGGATGCCAGCAAGAGACTCCTCAGTGACTCGGTAGGATGGGGCAGTGGGGAGCTGACCAAAGGGCCGCACACCTCTCGCCCTTCGCCCTTTGATCACTCCCAGTCCACCTTCCTCAGACAGGCCTGAGCTCGTGCTGTCTCCTTTCTGACCTCTCTGCCCCTGCAGCTGCCCCCCAGCACTGGCACCTTTCAAGAAGCTCAGAGCCGGCTGAACGAGGCGGCAGCTGGGCTGAATCAGGCGGCCACGGAACTGGTGCAGGCCTCTCGGGGAACCCCTCAGGACCTCGCTCGGGCCTCGGGGCGGTTTGGACAAGACTTCAGCACCTTCCTGGAAGCTGGCGTGGAGATGGCAGGACAGGCTCCGGTAGGACACGGGGCCTGGTTACATGACCACCCCCCACCTCCCCATCAGAGATTAGGTCTGCGACCCCTGTGTAACCACAGAGGCCTGCCCTCCTCCTGGCTCCCTCTTCTCCCCAGGCTCTCGCTATACATGAGTGTCTGGGAAAAAAGATGCCTTTTACAGACAGGTAAGGAAGGACGGGGCACTCTGTTGACCTTGTCACCTTCAACAGAGGCAGGAGGATCGGGCCCAGGTTGTGTCCAACTTGAAGGGCATCTCCATGTCTTCAAGCAAACTTCTGCTGGCCGCCAAGGCCCTGTCAACAGACCCTGCTTCCCCCAACCTCAAGAGTCAGCTGGCTGCAGCCGCCCGGTGAGCAGGAACTGGGAAGCCCAGCCCTAAAATGTTGGAGAAAGACTGGGGGGTGGGGGGAGCATTTCTGAGAAACCCCTATACCTTAGGAGAGGTTGCAGGCAAAAGGGAAACAGCTAGAGCCTGCCTGGACTTATAAGCTCAGAAACGATATCCTGCTCAGCCATTCACTCAGCTTTCTGTCCTTCCCAGGGCAGTGACTGACAGCATCAACCAGCTCATCACCACCTGCACCCAGCAGGCTCCGGGCCAGAAGGAGTGTGACAATGCCCTGCGGGAACTGGAGGTGGGCTTTGACAGGCACAGTGGAGCCGGGTCGGGGAAGGTGTGCTGGGCTCAGGACCAAGGGAGGCATCTGCGATCTCACTTCTCCCCTCCACTACCCAGACGGTTCGTGAACTCCTGGAGAACCCACTCCAGCCCATCAATGACATGTCCTACTTTGGCTGCCTGGACAGTGTCATGGAAAACTCCAAGGTGAGGACAGCCAGGAGCCCTGGAGGGAAGGGACGGGGGGTGGGGGTGTTGTGGCAGAGTGGAAGTATCCAGCTGCTGCGAGACCCCTCCCAGGACAGGACCGGACTCTCCTGGTGCCCTCTGTTCCGCAGGTGCTGGGCGAGGCCATGACTGGAATTTCCCAAAACGCCAAGAATGGGAGCCTGCCAGAGTTTGGGGAAGCCATTGCCACAGCTTCCAGGGCTCTCTGCGGCCTCACTGAGGCAGCTGCCCAGGTTATTCTCCTGACTGCCTGCCTCGGGCCTTCCCCCTCCTCCCGCCACACAAACAAGTTGACATCTGCAGACCAGCGAGGGCGAGTCTGGGCTTTTCACCTGGAGTCCATGTGGCCATCGCCAACCATTGAGCACCGACAGTCAGAGAGCTTTCCCCTCTTAACCGAACGGTGTTAAGGATGAGAGTAACCTGACCAATGTTGGGGCTCCTCCACCGGCAGCTTTCTCAATATGCACTCATTTACACAGACAAAAATCTTCCCTCATAAATATTAAATGGTGCTGGGAACCACTTCTCTAGTTGCTTGAGTAACCCCTTAAATTAACTTGCCTTTTTCTACAGAGTCAAGTATAGAACTGTCTTTTTTTGGCTCTGAAAGAGTCTGGGTGGTGCCCTGCTGACACCTGGGGTGGCTGACCAAGAGTGTGTGGCTCTGGGGGAGAAAGAAGGGGCAGTCTGCTTCTGGAAAGGCCACAGCCTGGGAAGGCGCACGGCGCGGCCCTGCTCTGTCCTAGACGGTCGCTAGGGGTCCCACTCCGTATGAGGGCAGTGGGTTTGCTTGGTCTTCAGCCGAGAGTACTGGGCTTTGATCTGTGACTCTCTCAGAGCTGCCATCCACTTCCTCACTCCCTGCAGCCTCCCCTCTGCCTTTTCATGTGGGTGAAGTCGGTTCAGACGCTACGACGGTCCTCATAAAGATGGCTCCTTGGCATCTTCCCAACCCGCCAGTCTCTGGAGCTTGGAGGCCCTGTAACCGTCAATGTAGCCTAACAGCCACCATACTTTTACAACAGTGTTTTTATCACAGAGCTTTTGACTCTGTATATGCATGTGTTCGAGTGTGGTTTTCACACTGCTTGTACTGTTATAGTAACGGCACTTTTTGCCTTAAGGCTCAGCGTCCAAATAGAAGTCTGAGGAGCCCTCTTAAAACCAAACCAACCTCATGGGCGTCTCGATGCCGACTCGCTGTGACCCTGTAAGGCAGAGTAGAACTGCCCATGGGTTTCCGAGGCTGTGAGTCTGTACAGGAGTGGAAAGCCTCATTTTTCTCTCATGGAGCAGCTAGTGGTTTCAAACTGCTGGCTGTGCAATTCAGAGCCAGGCAAATAACCTACTACGCTCCTGAAGAACCTATGCACCTTGCTGAAGCTCTACTCTCTGGTTTTGCTTTTTTTCCCATCTTCTATATGCTTAAACATGTTTCCACAAAGCAGTTTTTATTTAGTTTTGCTTAACAGTGTAACAAGGGTTTGTTAATGTACATAAGGTCACCTCTCACATAGATCCCTGGGGGAAAACCCTGGCCTCTAACCCTACCTGCCCACCCCCTGTTGTCCCTCCCTGTTACTGTCTGTTTCCCACCTGTAGTTCATATTCACCACCCCTTCTCTCCACAGGCTGCATACTTGGTTGGGGTCTCTGACCCCAATAGTCAAGCGGGACAGCAGGGGCTGGTGGAGCCCACACAGTTTGCCCGTGCCAACCAGGCAATTCAGATGGCCTGCCAGAGCTTAGGGGAGCCTGGCTGTACCCAGGCCCAGGTAACTCAAGAAGGAGATGCTGTGGGTAGGTTTGGGTAAGGGTGCTGACACAGGGGACCCACTCTTGTGGGCCACGCAGGGAGGGAGAAATGGGCGGGGACCCTTGGTTGGCTCTCCAAACACAGCTTCTCTCGGGTCCCTGTCTGCTCCTGCCGTGCTTCCTGTCATCCTTTCCATTCACCGCGAGCTCACGGCACCTCTCCAGACGCTTGTACTTCCTCTCCCGTGCTCCCATGCACCCTATGACGATTCCTCCATCAGTGCGTCTCCCCTCCCCCTCTCCACATCCACTTCTAGTGTTAGCTCTCGTTCCCACCAGCCTTGCCTGTTCAGGCGACTGTCCTTCCTGATGGGACTTCCAGTGACATAGCTGCCCATTCCCCACCCCGGCACCTCCTCAGCTCTGTGCACATCCGTCCCATCTTCATCGTGGCTCTTCCTGTGGCTTCTCCTCAGGTGCTCTCTGCAGCTACCATTGTGGCCAAGCACACCTCTGCATTGTGCAACAGCTGCCGCCTGGCGTCTGCCCGCACCGCCAATCCCACCGCCAAGCGCCAGTTTGTACAGTCAGCAAAGGAAGTGGCCAACAGTACCGCCAATCTGGTCAAGACCATCAAGGTGTCTAGTGCTTGGAGGCCCAACCTCTCTCCCTGACCTGTCCCGTCTGTCCAAGCGCGCCCCTCCCAGCCCTACCGATCATCACCTGCCTCTCCCAGGCCCCTCCGAAACTGGCTGGGTGGTTGGGGCGGGGAGGTGGGCTGGGTCCTGAGGCTCTCTCCCTCCCTCCTGCTTGTAGGCCCTGGACGGGGCCTTCACGGAGGAGAACCGGGCCCAGTGTCGCGCAGCCACAGCACCCCTGCTGGAGGCTGTGGACAACCTGAGCGCCTTTGCAGCCAACCCTGAGTTCTCCAGCATCCCTGCCCAGATCAGCCCCGAGGTAAGGCCCTGCGAGGGGAGAGCCAAGGGCCAGCTTAGCTCCTTACCTTATGAGGAATCCACCTGACCTCCCTGCTGCCCCTCTCACCAGGGCTGGGCTGCCATGGGCCCCATCGTCATCTCCGCCAAGACAATGCTGGAGAGCGCAGGGGGGCTGATCCAGACAGCCCGGGCCCTGGCCGTCAATCCGCGGGATCCCCCACGCTGGTCGGTCCTGGCTGGCCACTCTCGCACTGTCTCGGACTCCATCAAGAAGCTTATCACGAGCATGAGGTATGGAGCGGGCAGGCATCCTGGGGACGGGGGGCACACCCTCTGGAAGCTGAAAGGCTGGGCGCGTGGGGTTCGCTGGCCATGCTGGGAAGAGCTGTGCTCCAAGCGTTGGGGGCAGCCGGGCTCCCCGGGCAAAAGGAGGCGTGTTGGTGCTGGAGCCACGACGTGTCTGCAGGGACAAGGCTCCGGGGCAGCTGGAGTGCGAGGCAGCCATTGCAGCGCTGAACAGCTGTCTGCGGGACCTGGACCAGGCTTCCCTGGCTGCTGTCAGCCAGCAGCTCACGCCCCGAGAGGGCATCTCTCAGGAGGTGAGGGGCAGAGGACTGCACACAAGGCTGAGTTGGAGAAGTGGGCTGCTTGTGGAAGATTGGGGGTCCAGGAACGTGCTTCATAGGGACTGAGGAGGTGGGGCGTGCCGAGGTGCGGGGCAGAGGGAAGCATGGGGTTCTGGGCCAGCTGGGTCCTCTTCCGGTCAGTCAGTGCTGGCGTTGCTCCCTCCCCAGGCCTTGCACACTCAGATGCTCACAGCAGTGCAGGAGATCTCCCACCTCATTGAGCCGCTGGCCGGGGCTGCCCGGGCCGAGGCCTCCCAGCTGGGACACAAGGTGACTGGAGAGACCCGGGAGAGGTAAGGTGGGAGAGGGTGCCAGACCCCGCTGACCTAATGCTGATCCGTTGCCTCAGGTGTCCCAGATGGCCCAGTACTTTGAGCCGCTCACCCTGGCTGCAGTGGGTGCTGCCTCCAAGACCCTGAGTCACCCACAGCAGATGGCACTCCTGGACCAGACAAGAACGCTGGCAGAGTCGGCCTTGCAGTTGCTGTATACGGCCAAGGAGGCTGGGGGCAACCCCAAGGTACTGAGGGCTGGGAGCGAAGGAGCCTGCAGAAGCAGGACGAGCGGGCCCCGGCACTCACTCACTGTCACCCCCACAGCAGGCAGCCCACACCCAGGAAGCCCTGGAGGAGGCCGTGCAGATGATGACAGAAGCCGTGGAGGACCTGACTGCCACCCTGAATGAAGCCGCCAGTGCCGCTGGGGTTGTCGGCGGCATGGTGGACTCCATCACCCATGCCATCAACCAGGTGCGAGTCTTGGGGGCCTGGGGGCCAAGGCCACCCTGGACCAGGGTCCCTGCAAACAGTGGCGGAGACCCCGACACTCCTTATTCCTGCTTCCTCCCCTCCTCAGCTAGACGAAGGACCCATGGGTGAGCCAGAAGGCTCCTTCGTGGACTACCAGACAACCATGGTGCGGACGGCCAAGGCCATCGCCGTCACCGTTCAGGAGATGGTGAGTTGGGGAGCTTATAGGGGTCTGCCCTCGGAGAGCTCAGTTCAGACAGCACTCCACCTCTTCCATTACTTGGTTCCACCAGGTAACCAAGTCAAATACCAGCCCTGAGGAACTGGGCCCGCTTGCTAACCAGCTGACCAGCGACTATGGCCGCCTGGCCTCCCAGGCCAAGCCTGCAGCCGTGGCTGCTGACAACGAAGAGGTGACTATGAAGGCAGCACTGCCGTCCCCAGCCCAGCTGCCATCACGGCAGGCCCTGGCCCCCACCCCTGTCACCCGCTCGTCTTTCTTACCGGGGGTGCACCCACAGGGCCATGCCTCTCCAGTGACTAGGGGTCAGTGTAGTCATAGGGACAGAAGGCTTCCATCACAGGGGGGACCGAGGATCTGAAGGTAGCCCCAGCTCTGCACCCATCACCTCTCCTAGCCCTCTCCCGGGCTTCAGCTGCTTCTTGGTGCTGCTGCAAGTCGGGATCCTCTTCTTGGTTCTTCCTAGTGACAAGCCCACAAACCGCTTCCTTCCTTAAGCTTCTGGCTTTCCAAGAAAGCAAGTAATCGGATCTTGGTGTGACACACAGAATCCGCACCTCTGGTCCAAACACCCAAGCGTCAAGTGCCTCTCTTCCTCCTCCCGCCCTGCTTAGCACAGCCTCACCAGTTGGTGCCTGCCTGCTGTCATTTTCCATGTGATGGAGGTGACCTCCTGCCGAAAGGGACTTTTCTCCAGGCTCCTTTAGAGCCTGCAGCACCTTCTTCCCTAGGTCCTTACTGGCTCCACCCTAACCCCCTCCCAAGCACAGTGGGGCACACTGGGTGCTCCCGGTGAAACCCCTCTTTGTCTGCTCCCAGATTGGTGCCCACATCAAGCACCGGGTGCAGGAGCTGGGGCACGGCTGTTCCGCTCTGGTCACCAAGGCCGGCGCCCTGCAGTGCAGTCCCAGTGATGCCTACACCAAGAAGGAGCTCATAGAGTGTGCCCGCAGAGTCTCTGAGAAGGTAAGCGCACCCAGCCCACAGGCCTCGTCCTCATACAGCTTCTGCTCCTGTCCGCAGCCTGGGTGACCTCTCCCCTTCCCCCAGGTCTCCCACGTGCTGGCTGCGCTCCAGGCTGGGAACCGTGGCACCCAGGCCTGCATCACAGCAGCCAGTGCCGTGTCAGGGATCATAGCGGACCTGGACACCACCATCATGTTTGCCACGGCTGGCACACTCAACCGAGAGGGTGCTGAGACCTTCGCTGACCACCGGTGAGGGTGGCACTGGGCCTGAGGGTGCATTGGGGGGAAGGGGCAGACGGGGCACGTTCTTCAGCAGCTCCTATGGGCCCGGCCGGAGCCGGCACCTCAGCAAGACTGAGGGTGCAGGAGAGCTGAAGAGACGTGACCAGGCTGGGTCCTCCCTCAGGGAGGGCATTCTGAAGACGGCGAAGGTGCTGGTAGAAGACACCAAGGTCCTGGTGCAGAATGCAGCTGGCAGCCAGGAGAGGCTGGCTCAGGCAGCCCAGTCCTCTGTAGCTACCATCACCCGCCTCGCCGACGTCGTCAAACTGGGCGCAGCCAGCCTGGGAGCCGAGGACCCGGAGACCCAGGTATCCATCCTGATACCCCTGATCCTGGCCAGAGCCCCTTCCTGCTCTCCTTTCCTCCCACGGATCACAGGCGCCTCCCCCCACAGGTGGTCTTGATCAATGCGGTGAAAGATGTGGCCAAGGCCCTGGGTGACCTCATCAGCGCCACGAAGGCAGCAGCCGGCAAAGTCGGGGATGACCCTGCGGTGTGGCAGCTCAAGAACGCAGCCAAGGTTGGAGGAAGGCGGGCACCACTGGGAGGGGCCGCAAGCTCACGTGCTTCTTGTTCCCTGCAAACGAGCTCCCCCTCCCCAATTTCCCGATGCCCCAGGTGATGGTGACCAATGTGACATCACTGCTCAAGACCGTGAAAGCTGTGGAAGATGAGGCCACCAAGGGGACACGAGCCCTGGAGGCGACCACAGAGCACATACGGCAGGAACTGGCGGTGAGAGCCTGCCCGAGGCTCTGGGGCCCTGGGTCAGAGCAAGTTAAAGGGGCCCCTAGACTCTGATGCTGTTCCGTCAGACGCGAGAGAAGCAGGAGCACTCAGACTTGACGGACTACATGGGTCCTTCCCTTCGTGACCTCTGCTCCCTCCCCCCACTCGCTTCCCAGGGCCTCTCCTGACCCCGGACTTCCTGACCTCAGCCTCTTGTGGACTTCCTCCTCTCCAAACATTTCCAACCTCTGGCGCTGGGTGCCAGCCTCTCCTGAAAACTGTTCTTCCTGTGGCTTCCTTACACGGGTCTCTTTTTTGCTCCACCGAGACCTTACCTGTGTGTTCCTCGTGGACTCACTCACTCCTCTTCTACTGAGCAGACGTAGCCTCCCTTCTCTGTTCTCTCTTTGGCAGGTTTAACCACTTTTGTTATTGTTCTCCAAGAAACTAACTTCTAATCATTTGTCAAATGAGTCAAATCATTTCCAACTGCCTGCTTGGTATCACCACCTACATGCAGTGCCACCACACCTATTTTCCCTCCTGGCATACCTGACATGCCACTTTCCATTAGTGGCGCTAACCATCTGCCAGCCCTGCTTGGCGTCACTGTGTGCTCCACCACAGCCAGGCAGGCGCCAAGGCCGTTCTTTCTTCCCTCCTCTGCATCCCGCTGCCTACACTCTTCATCTCGAGGGGAGCCCCGCTCCTTCAAGGCCGCACAGCCTCTATCTGCCTCTCCACTCTCATCTCACCCCACTCTGATCCCTCCGTGCCCCAAACTCTCTGGGCGCGTGTCAGTCCTGAGCACATGCCGAGCTTGAGGGCCTCACACTTGTTTTTCTCCAGTTTTTAAACTATCTGGCTCCCTTCTGTTCTTTCAGGCTTTAGGTGAAACCAGCTCCCCAGAGAGGCCTTCCCTGACCACCGTCTACAAGAGGACACCCTCTGTGCTCATCACAGCAGCTTCTCTACGGCCTTCATGGCCCAGATTGGAGTCTCTTTCCGCCCCTTTGTTGACCTGTTCTCTCTAGTCAGAGCAAGAGTATGGCATCCAGGAAAACAAGGACCTTGTCAGTTCTGTAACCCATTTGCACCCCCACACCTTGCTCAGTATATACCATCCAGTAGCTTACGAAAGATTGTTTTAGAATAAACATCTGTTGAATGAGCACACCAAACATTTTTTGACTTTTTACCTAGTGCGTAAAGGTCTAAGTTGCTCAGTCCGTGTCCCAAAGCCCCAACCCCCTTTTCTCCATCACCTAGGACTTCCCACTTCAACCTTCTGCTACTCGTGTGTCGCCATTTGCCTTCCTAGTGTCCATGTCTCTCAAGGCCCCGTCCCTCCCTGCTGCTCCTTGTCCTCCTTGTGCTGTAGGGTCGAGAACCCAGTTCAGAAGCTGCTGCTTCTATTTGAAACAAACCAATTTGCCAATCTCTTCAGTCACAAATGACAGCCAGTTGCTTTTGAGTGTCTTAGGTGTGAATGTGTGAACTTCTCCAAGGACTTGCTCCACTCGGAATGCCCCATGAACTTCCGCACAAATTAACCAAATTACAGGTATACAAAGTACTTCTTTGTCTTTCAGCTCCGGTCACTGTAAAATCTTGGTTTTTGTTCTCTGCCAACAGGTGTTCTGTTCCCCAGAGCCACCTGCCAAGACCTCTACCCCAGAGGATTTTATTCGCATGACCAAGGGCATCACCATGGCAACGGCCAAGGCCGTTGCCGCTGGCAATTCTTGTCGCCAGGAAGATGTCATTGCCACAGCCAATCTGAGTCGGCGTGCTATTGCAGACATGCTCCGGGCTTGCAAGGTAGAATGGTGGTACTTGTCTGAGGTGGTGAGGGGGAGGGGCGGGGGTTGGCGGGGAGCAGCTTTGGGACAGAACCAGGAAGGAGGATGCAGTCAGGTGCCAGTGTCTGGCACTCTGTGGGCTCCTGAAGCTAACATGTGACTTGGGGAACAGGAGGCAGCGTACCACCCGGAAGTGGCCCCTGACGTACGGCTCCGAGCCCTGCATTACGGCCGGGAGTGTGCCAATGGCTACCTGGAGCTGCTGGACCACGTGCTCTTGGTAAGGATGCTTCTGGCTAGACTCCCCAAGTGCACAGGCCTCGTCCCAGCTCTTAGGTTCAGGGCCCACCTTCTGGGTCGCCCTCTCACTGGTGCCCCAGTGGTCTTAGGTCACCTTGGGGCTCCCACTCACTCCCTCCTCTTCCTCTTTCTTCTCTCCTGTTCCTTTTCTCCCCTGGTCACCTCTTCTTTCTACTCCTTGTCAGCCGGTGAGTGTGTGTGCCGTGCGAGTGACGCCAGGGGTGCTGGGTGGGGCCAGGGGCTGCCCGCAGTCTGCCTGGGCCAGAGATCAGGCTGCAACGCAGGCTCACCTGTCCTCCTGCCCCCTCCCTGCAGACGCTGCAGAAGCCAAGCCCAGAGCTCAAGCAGCAGTTGACGGGACACTCGAAGCGTGTGGCTGGCTCCGTCACAGAGCTCATCCAGGCCGCGGAGGCCATGAAGGGTGAGGGGCCAGGCAGGGGAGGGAGGAAGCCTTGTCATGGCAAAAGCTCTACTTCCTGGTTGGACGACCTCGGAGCACAAGTGATCCTAAGCCTGCTCCCCCCCATGCTCCTGCCTCCCCTCCCCGTCTTAGCCCTTCTCTTGCCCCTTCGTCCCCCCAGGAATAGAATGGGTGGACCCTGAGGACCCCACAGTCATCGCGGAGAATGAACTCCTGGGAGCCGCGGCTGCCATTGAGGCTGCAGCCAAGAAGCTGGAGCAGTTGAAGCCCCGGGCCAAACCCAAGGTCAGCCCTGTGCTACCTGCCTGCCTGCTCTCCTAAAGGCCAAACACCCCCACTGCCCACTCCCTCTCTAATTTCACACCTCTCTACAACTTTCCTCGTGCAGGAGGCGGATGAGTCCTTGAACTTTGAAGAGCAGATCCTAGAAGCTGCCAAGTCCATTGCTGCAGCCACCAGTGCCCTAGTGAAAGCTGCATCCGCTGCCCAGCGGGAACTGGTGGCCCAAGGGAAGGTGTGTGCTGAAAGGCCCGGGAGAAGGGGGACAGAGCAGCAGTTTGGCTGCCCACACCCACCCACAGCCCTAGAGGCTTTGGAGCTTGAGGGGCCTAGGCCTAAGCGGGCTCACCTGTCTCCCTCCACAGGTGGGCGCCATCCCAGCCAATGCACTGGATGACGGGCAGTGGTCCCAGGGCCTTATATCTGCTGTGAGTGCAATACCCAACCGCTGAGCTTGAGAGACTTGGGAAGGCTGGAGAGGGAGTGGCCATGGGAAGAGCCGTAGTCTCATCTCCCTCTCCCCTACGTTAGGCCCGGATGGTGGCCGCAGCCACCAATAATCTGTGTGAGGCAGCCAATGCCGCCGTGCAAGGCCACGCCAGCCAGGAGAAGCTCATTTCATCAGCCAAGCAGGTGGCTGCCTCCACAGCCCAGCTCCTCGTGGCCTGCAAGGTCAAGGCGGACCAGGACTCCGAGGCAATGAAACGACTTCAGGTAAGGAACCCTGGCCCAGCCCTTTGGACCCACCCATGCCCACCCTACCCCTACGCCCCAAGACCCTACCTGAGTTCTCACCCTCAGGCTGCTGGTAATGCAGTGAAGCGAGCCTCCGATAACCTGGTGAAGGCCGCTCAGAAGGCTGCCGCCTTTGAAGACCAGGAGAATGAGACGGTGGTGGTGAAGGAGAAGATGGTTGGGGGCATTGCCCAGGTGAGTGTTAGCTGGCCTGGGCTGGTCCCAGCTGCCCCGTACCCCCAGTGTCCTGTTCACTGAACTGAGTTCCCATCTCTGGCCTTCAGATCATCGCAGCCCAAGAGGAGATGCTGCGGAAGGAGCGGGAGCTGGAAGAGGCGCGGAAGAAGCTGGCCCAGATCCGGCAGCAACAGTACAAGTTCTTGCCTTCAGAGCTTCGAGACGAGCACTAGGGCAGCTGCTTTTATTTAACGAAGAGCCAGCCTAGAGACTGCGCTGTCCGCTACCAAAGCTTTCTGGGCTGTCGCGGCCCAACCTACCCAGTCCCAGCACTCCCCAAAGTGCCAGCCAGGCCCACTGCACAGCCCCGGCCCCCTCCCCACTGCAAGTGCCTTCATGCCCTAGGGCCCCCTAAGTGCCTGTCCCTCCCCAGAGTATTAACGCTCCAAGAGTATTATTAACGCTGCTGTACCTCAGTCCGACCCTGCCAGTCTCCACCTCGGTTCTGCGCGGTCTTTTTTGATACTGCCTCTCCCCACCCCCAGCCTCCTGGGAGACTGCAGGATCAGAACCCCTACTTGGGTCATGTTCCAATAAAGGTGATTCTCCTACAACCTCTGCCTGGCATCCTCAGGAGATGGGAGCTTGGTCTGGGGCAGGGCTAAGACCTGGTTCTGTTGCCCCGCCTGATCCCGCCTCAGGAATAGGAAAGGAGCCGGGGGTTGAGGCTTTCTTCCCCCTTGTACCCAGATCATGCTGTCCCTGAAAAGTCATGCACCTCTTTGCCCCACCTCGATGGCCAGCGCCTAAGCCTCCCAGGTGTCACTCTGTTGCTGGGACAGCAGCTGCCACTCCTGTTTGTGGCTACCAGGCACACTCTGTTCTTCCTATCTCTCAGAATATGCGGACAAACCCACCAGCCCCTGGCCAGATTCACATTCTCAGAGGCAACTTTCCCAAAATAATAAGCCTACAAGATACAAGTGCCTGAGCCTAAGAAAACAATGGCCCCAGATTTGGTGGAGGCAGTTAGCAAAGCAGCGTGCCAGCCTGAGGCTGCCCATAAATGGGGCATGCCCAGCCCCTCCCAGGCTTGGTTTCGGCACCTAGACCAGCACTGGAAAGGAGCTGAGAAGCTTGGCTCAGGGTGAGGCTGTAGTGATGCGGGCAGAGCGCCCCTAGTGGCCAGGAATGTGCTGGTCAGCCCTCGGCTGCCTTGCTCACTATTTCAGTGGAGAAAGGTGGTGTGTGCTGTGTTTGCTTGTACTTCTGCATTTAAGCAGCCACAGCTCATAACCCCCTAGACTGTCCGGCAGCCCCCTGAGGTCGGCCACTGTTGTCATTGTGACTTCTAGCTCCTCCCTCTCCCTCCACCTACTGCTACTCTGGGAATCTTTTGCCTCCTCGAAGCCCCGGCACCTTCCATCCCAACACCACTAGAGTGAGTTTCAAATACATGAAACGACTTTGTTGTCCCCAGACAACCCATTGGGGAAGACGCCAACCTCCACTTGTGATTCATTCATTCAATATTTACGGAGCCATGCCTATGCTAAGCACTAGAAATAGAGCTGTGTTATCACTTCTCTGACGCAGGGGCCACGCAATTCCAGCACACACTGCCCTCGCCCCCAGTATCAGAGCAGTGAGGGTTGAGTCCGTCGCTGGCAGTTCACACCCCTTCTACAGCATTCAGGAGTGGCAGCACCCACATTTGATGCCCCCTAGCCAGACACCCAGGCCACCTACTTGTTCCAGCTTCCCCTTGCCTGCCTGGGCCTCCGGAACTGAATTGCCACACACCTCAACGAGCCTCTGGGGAAAGGAAAACCCATTGGGTCTACTCTCCTAAAAGCAAGGTCCTCTTGGGGGGTCTGCAAGGTCTTTTCAGGGAGGGGTTCATAGATAAAAAATATTTTCATAATATTAAAGTATTTTTCTTTTTCACGATGTTAACATTTTCACAGGGCTGGGGGTAAGACTGCCTTCACACAGAGCAAGGCAGTGGCACCAGACTGCACTGGGAGGGACTGTATTCTTTGACTTTGTCCTTGACAGAGGTTAAAAGAAAGGGTTTTCAGTCTTGTACGTGGCGAAAGGGGAAGTGCATAGGGAGCGAGCCTGTGGCACGATGCTTATCTCAAGAAAAGCATTTACAATCATTCTTGAGATTGTGAGCTGCTTTTTAAATTTTTTATGGCATCTCATTTTTAGAAGAAAAACTGATTAGTCAAACTATAGTTATTTTTTCTTTTTCAAAGGAACACACATGAATCTTGTTTTAGGGGAAGAAAACAAAACTGAAAGTGGCGGCCAATTTGAGCTTCAAGAGGAAACTAGAATCCTGACAGATGCCGCGAATAGCTTGCGAGACGCCCCAGAATTTTCTGTTACAAGTTTTCAATATTTAAATCTTGGTGTATCTGCCACCACCAAAAGTCTTACAGCTTCCCCAGATTTTCCTGCGAAACTGATGGTGATAAAAAGAATTTGCTATTTTGATAATATTTTCTAAATGCCCAGGGCATAATGTTACTGAATTCTGCATGAGTGGGAACTGATGAAAGTGGGAGGCAGGTCAATGGATTTTAATGTAACATTATGAAAAGTCATTGACATGAGTTCAGGTTCCCCGCTGCAACTAACCCTTAAAAAGTTACTACTTGACAAGTTTTAGTACAGTGTCAAAGACCCAGGATTATCTGAAAACCAATTCTACCCCTTTTCTAACTACATACATGTTTATGTGAGACCAGATACTCTTCACTTAAATCCATGTTAAGGGGCTTCAAAAAGTTGGTGGAAAATGGAATTGAAGAAAACTTTCCCAAGAACTCTGAAAGTTCCCTCAAAAAAAAAAAAGTTCTCTCATAACAATATTCAATAAGGAAGCAGATTTTGAGAACCCAGGTGTCCTGTACTACAGAGCCCTAATGGCATAGTAGCTTATGTCTTGAGCTGCTAACCACAAAATCAGCAGTTTGAAATCACCAGCAGCTCCCAGGGAGAAAGATGAGGTTTTCTACTCCCACAGGAGTTAAAGCCTGGAGGAGCCTTGGTGTAGTGGTTATGAGTTGGGCTGTGATCCCCATGGGCTGCAGATCGAAACCACCATGGGAGAAAGACGACTCCACTCCCATAAACAGTTAACATTCTCAGAAACTCAAAAGGGGGCATTCTACCCTGCCCTATAGGGTCACTCTGAGTTAGAATCAACCCCATAGGCATTTTGGGTTTTGGGGGGTTTTGGTTTTATATTAAGCTAGATATTAAAGAACTACACATAAGTGTAAAGTAGTTGCCATTCCCCTCACTAGTTATTTGGGGAAAATATAATTACTTTTCATAAAAGCATATGTTAAAGTATATGTGAATGTGGTGAGTGTGTAATGGGTCTACTTTTGCTACTTTTTTGTGCTACTTTTTAGTTTATTAATAAATCTTTAAAATTTTGTGTCAACTTTAATAGGGTGAGTATTGATGCCACTTCAACAAAAGCTCAATATTTTAAAAAATATTTAAAATATGAAAATATTTATTTTAAAAAGCTTCAGTAATTTTTTTCTTCTTTTTAAGTTAATCATTTTATTGGGGGCTCACACAAGTCTTATTACAATACATACATACATCCACTGTGTCAAGCACATCTGTATATTTGTTGACCTCATCATTCTCAAAACATTTGCTTTCTACTTGAGCCCTTGCTATCAGCTCCTCATTTTTCCCCTCCCCACTACCCCCTCCCTCATGAACCCTTGATAATTTATAAATTATTATTTTGCCATATATTACACTGT